TTAATTAAGATAAAAATTATATCAGAGAATAATGTTCAAGTGATTAAATCTTTAAAGAAAAAGCAAGCTAATTACCTATGCTATGGACCATACAATTACATGATGACAAGAATGCAAGCAGAGTAAAAAATATTTCTTTCCTCATTATCCTTTAAAATTCATATATATTACGTAAGTGAAATAACCAGGATGTTATAAATACACAACGTATCCATATTTTACCCTGTGGTTATGTCACCAAGTTACGACTTGAGTGTCCCATCCTTCTTGAAACACCTAGTATACTAATTGTACAGACACAAAAAAGTAACTAACAGTTTTGAGCTTCATTAGACACATATAACCGACTAAGAGAGAGGCAATTACATCCTGAGGTTAAGTGAAAGACACATGTTTCCATGGGGGAGCCTGTGGACCATGGCAAGGCTAGTACAAGGAAAGAAAATTATAAATATTCCATAAAAGTCAAGTCTCCTAAGTATTATTTTGATATTGACAAAAGCTACAGGTTTTAGTTCCCAGCTTGATTTTTCCAAGATGTTTTGCATGTCTCCTTGAAGATCTTCTTCAGGAGGAAAGTTGAGTTATTCTTGAAGACAGCAGTTGTTTACTTTTCAGGAAAGCATTTAACACAGTAGATTTAACACAACAGAGTCTGAAGTTCAAGTATGTGATTCAGAGATTTTGGTGGTTCCATTAGGGGACAATATATTGTAGAGGCTGTCAAATTATTTTATCCTTACCACTCCAGATAGAGTAGATCCACCTGATGCACGTAAGAAAACAAAGAGTTTTATTCCAATGATGAGTTTAGCCAGGGGATTATTTCAGGGCTAAGTCATTGGCAGACCATTTTGTTCAAGGTCAGATCTTCCTCTAATATAGCCTACTCCTGAATGATTACTTTCCACATAAACCGAGGATAGTATGGTGTGTTACAGCTACATGCATCTACCAGTGGAAATGTTTGGGGACTTCTTTGTCCTGAAGTTCTTATATGCTTTCACGTGTATCTTTCTAAACAGATGATCGAACAGTGAGGTAACATCTCAACTAGACGTTAAAGGACAGTAACACTAAGCTACCGGTGGGGGAGTATCTTTCAGAAAATCATTACTATATCTCTGATTCCTCCATCTAATATTCCTTCTGCTACACAGATACTAATTTCCTTCGGTTTTGCTCGTACGGTACATATTATATCAGGGCAATTATTTGTAACTTGTATTTACCTTTCAAGTTTCTCTCTCACATTGTACACTGGAAGAGACTGTATACCTGAAAGTTTCTCTGCCTTTCCCAGCTATACCACTTAATCTGATAGAGACTTGCACAACTTGCCTGTACTATGTTTTTACACAACTGCAAATAAATCATATTTCCTTTTTAATTACTTCTTTGATAAGCTATTCAACATCCATCTTTAAGGACAATTCACTTCAGTTGCCTGTCTTACTTTGAGATGAATGGCCTTACAAGAGACCCTATTTCTCCTCTCTGGGTATAAAAAGAGCATGGGATAACTAGCTCAGATTCAGAATGCGACATTTACATTCAAGGTCAATATATTCAGAAAACTTTTCCAACTGGAGAATCTATAAACTGAACTCAGAAAGGCTTTTATTGTGCCAGTTGGCCAGTGGCTGCAGCTGTACGGTTGAAAATAGAAAGTCAACAGCTAATACAAATAGCATTGTTGCAATTGTCAGCCAGCAATGACAAACCCATGCCTTGGCTCTTCACCACCCCTTGAAGTGGTGCAATTACTATTGTTTTTATAAAAAGCTCAACATTGGCTTATGCTAAAACAGCGAATAATTTAAAATAATGTCAAAACGTCAAAGCAGTTAAATGTCAATTATTTTATCATGGCTATATTCCTCTTTTGTGCAAATACTCTTTAAACCAGTTTAGCAAAAGTATTTTCCTTTTCAAAAGGTTTTTAGCTGCACTTCTGATTTCCTCTCACTGCCTAGATATAAAAATACAATTTCTTAGTTTATATCTATCTATACATCTATACATCCACATGGAATAAATATATGTATATTTCAAAGCTATTGCATTCTTTAGATACATGAAGTTTAGGTTCATAACCTAAATTATTTTACTCTCAGATGTCTGTTGCTAAGAATGTGACTCCTTCAGACTTGATAAAAATTTCCCACTGGTGCTTAAATGTGCATGTGTGGACATAAGCCTGAAGATTTTACTGAACTTTTTATATGACAATCTTCCAGCAATCAATTTTTGAACCCATACGGAGACTCTAATGTGAATACTAACTAGTCCAAGTAGAAGACTACCATTCCATGAATCTGCAGAAGAAAACTGGTATTATTCAGTGTATAACTAACAAAATGGATTCAAACATGATCCAAAGTAACGGTACTTATGAAAGCAGAAGCAAATACTGACAGACTTTTTTCATTCTTTCAGCTTTAAGTTATATGATATGCCTACAGCTATTACATGTAGCTTCATAATATTAAATAACCTATTGTCATGTCATTTAATTACTAAATTTTTTAAGTCTCTTCATGAAACAAATGTGTGCACTTTAAGATATAAAATTTCTGGTCATAAACCACAGTTTTATGGATTCTGTTTTCTGCAACAGTTTAACCACAGACCATGCCATAAATTTATATAAAAGTTGGAAGACAAAAACAAATTAGTCCTGAAGCAGTACTTTTCATTAAACAAAAGCATGAAATATTTTGCCATTAAAAGAATAATAATTATTAACTTTATGTCAACAGGGATATAGTACATATAAATTCGAGTGAGAATGATCTGTGATGCTATGATCATTAAATAAAATGCTTCTGTTATTCTTTTTAAGTACAAAATCCTTTGGAAACAGTAATTTTTGCAGATTGTTCATAATAAACTTTTAAGAAGGAATTTTCATTTCCGAGTTAGTTAAGGGGTATATGATATTCAAAAATGAACAGTGTCCCCAATAATATGCAATATTTTGGGGGGGGGGTTAATATGAAAGAGGAGTGATATGTTCCACTTCTGTTTTCCAAATCGCTTGATTTGTAAATGTACTATATGACTATGGTAAATATGAATATACAAAATTAATTTTAATTCTGTAACAGGACGGTTAAAGATTAACTCACACTAGTCAGTGGCATACCATTTATCTGTATTTATAACAAATTCAGGATTATTAAAGATGCACAGAAGCTTTGTGATTTCTGAATTGTAATAATGAAATAACGAGTTTATTTCAATCAAGTGCATAGTATTTCAAACACTATTTTTGTGAAATTATTAAGCCAGTGTTTGCATAATTATTTCACATACATACATCTCTCAAGCTACTGAAGCAATGCCTTCAATCCACTAACTAGTAAACAGAACTGCTGAAACCATCCGGTTGCTTCCTGCACTAGATTCCTGCACTGATTTAGTGATTCACCATAAACCTTTAACTTTCTAACAAAGCTTTGACATGCGGGAAAGAAAAATATTTCAAAATATCTTTTTTGGTTTAGTTTTAAAAAGATTGTATGTTCAAACTGTAAGAGTTTTAAACTGGATAGTGCTATAGTAGCTTGTAGTGTGGAAGGTCAAACATTGCCAAGATATGGAAGTAGTAGTTTCAAATATTTTATTGGAATGTAATCTTCTGCACAGAGAAAAATCCTGTGCTTTTTAAAACATCTTCTGAAGCTATTTAAATTTCCATGGTTAGTTCTCCTCTGGAATAATAGCAGACCATTTTACTGAAGTCAACAACTATGCCTAAATATGTTTCTAATACAAATAGCAAAAGCATATGTGGATGTCCTGTTTTGCAAGCACATTATGCTAAAAAAAAATAAATACAAAAACAGATGAAAAAAACCTCCCCCAAAAAACAAGCAGCCCCCCCCCAGCTTCTAACAAACTCTTCATTACATGAATATTAAAATCACACAGTTGTCAAAATATGAATCCAACATATTCATCCACTAGTGGCAACTCATAAGTAGAATGTATTTGCACAATACGTGTCACCAGGCAATGATAACACAGCATTAGCAGATATAGAACAATTTTAGACATATGTTTAATGCTGGTTTTGTTGGCTGTTTTTTATTTCCAATAAACTAATGGAGAATAGAAATGTACTATGATCTTAGGAATCAGAAATGTATTACTAGCTACATCAAAATATAGCTTATGAAGGTCAAAATCCAGAGACAGAGACTACACTGATCCTAGCAGAAGCACCGCTATTTTAAACTGCGGAGTGTTCTATCTTTTCTTTCGATATACAAAAAGACACTACTCCACTGCCAACTAGAGAGCACTTCTACCACCTTTATCTAAACAAAGCTTTGGGAACAGCTGGGCAGATAACACAGTTTCCACTGAACGCAGATGTTCTTTCAGGTGTACCTCTGAAATACAGACTCAGTAACATTTTGCTGCTACTAAGATTCCAGATGGAGGCTGACTCATAAAAGCCTGTGGCTTTTATACCTACCTACCCCCTCTTATCAACATCAAAACAGCTACTCTAAGTTCTAGGTGAAACGCAGTCCAAATGGTCAGTATACTCTAAAAAAATACTAAGAACAACATAAACTAAAAAAGCCACCCTAAGTTGACCTAACTAACCCAGTTTCCTCCTAAGAGAGATACTGTATAGAACAGACATAGTAAACTCCTACTGATTGCTATCAGTGGTGACAAGCAACCATGAGATGCTTGGGGCAGTCACCATGACGCTTTTGTTTGGGCAAACAAAAACATCTAAGATCCAGATATATTTTCAGCAGATATGATTAAACAAAAATATCTGAATAGATAGGGCACAGGTCCACTCACTGCAGAATATACACAAAAGGTATAAATATCTGAAGTAACACTCAAAGAAGGATAAATGATTTTTAATCCAAAATTACAAGATTTGTATATAATATGCTAAAGGAAAGAGAACTAAAACTGCAAGTTATTACTTCAAGAAACAGGGTACATAAAGTTACTGTGATACTTACCACTGTGAAATTCATAACCTTCAAAATCCATATTGTCATCGCTAAGTTAACAATCATGGTAACCAACAGCAGAAGGACAAAGAAGTATAAGCACCTCTTTCGCCATCCATAAATCCCTACTGGGTAAAACTGAGGATGTTCAGTCCTTGGAAGACTGTTCTGTTGTGTTGCTAATATATACTGCTCTCGTGTCATCTGGAAAAGAAAGATGTAAGCACAAGTAAGCAAATGAGAGGTCTGTTTTTCATAGATTTTATTACATGAAGATTATCTGAGAACGTATAGAAAATCAATTTCTATGGGCACAGAAGGGATGCATTCATTCAGCATAAACCACATCAATGTTATTTTTACTAGGCATTTAGCAAAAATTTTGTGGTTTTCATTAATTTAAAGTAAATCTTTGGTTTGGTATTTCAAATTGGATTTGCATTTCAAATTTATCAGCAAGAAACTGTAAAAAATATTAATGTAATCCATGTATGTATCTTACATTCTATTTCTGAAGACTGTTTTATTGTCCTTTATGAGGTCATTCAGGAAAATTTGGTTTTGGAGAAAAACTCGTGTAACTTTTTTGGTACTGGTTTTGGCTGAGATAAAGGTAATTTTTTTCATATTAGCTTGTAGCCAAAACCAGTACAC